AGAGAATTATGTATATTCGAGAATTTGCATCTTGGTTAACTCAATTAGCTTAATGTTACTTTGATTTCTGAGACACGGCTATTTCAAGTTGCGAAATCGAAATGGCAGATAGACAGCGAGCCAAATACAGGAATCTGTTCGGGTCAGCGGATAGCAAGCTCGGGGCAGCCTGTACAGGAAGTATCTAATCGATCTGCGCAACAATACAGTCATTTTTAACGATCTCTAATTTCATCGATCATCCATCATAGAAACATCATACGATCCTTTCCCAAACATATCCGACGTCCAGGTCGGGGCAACCCTTCGTGCGTGTCGAGCGTGGCCGACGGAATTGCGGATTGATCGACATAGGAGGAAGCGCGCTTCGACTTTAGGCCGCAGGAATCTAGAACGAGAACGTCCCGCATCATTCGACGCGCGCGTCCGTAATCGACGCGATACGCGGCGGGGTATTAGCGCCTATTAATGATTAATTGACCGGTGCCAAGAGGCCCCCGCTTCACGTGTGCGACGGTGCGGTGCTACACGCTAGTTGTAGCCAACGAGAATGGCGGGGTCGGCCCGGGTCAGATCATGCCTTGCGCCGAATCGTTAGAAAGTCCGCGGCTTTGGGTCTCGCTGCGCCGCGCCGAGCTGCGTAGCACGCTCCGGGTTAAGAAGAAATATCCATCCGTCGGCTCGATGGCTCGTCCCGATATTGCGAAGCGCAGCTCGCGTTGTTAGCGCGAGCGAACGATGAAAAGGATTCGCCGTAGAGCCAGGACAGAAAACGCTCTTGCGCAATATCTCTCGGATCTTAGGACCGCGTCCCCCGGTACCTTCAAAGATGAGCGCAAATGCGAGCGTGAGTCTAAGTGATGCGATTCTAAATTTTCCTCCTGTCAATAAGCGGCTTGGTGGCAGTGCGCGATTTATCATGATTTATCGGGCACAATTTATCCGCGATGAGAGAAACGTGATAATTCTTAAATGGTCGGGCACTGAAAATTGCACGACGTAACGCGACAGCGAACGGCTAACAACCGTTCAACGTACGTTCACGGTTGGACTCGACCGAGATGTCGATTGAGGGTAAATAGAAAAGGCAAATGGTCGTTCAAAAATATCTTCGGGCGATCTCCGTCCCGTCTGGTCGATCGAGATCGATCCGCCGGTTAAAGTTTCATCGGATGCTGGTCGCGAACGATCGATGAAACGCGCCGCATCGCGGAAGACGTACGGGCCACCTTCACCATTTTTCTTCAACGATCAGAGACAGAGTGATCTTGGCACATGGGCACGCTTATGTGTGCAGCGGTTGCCTCAATCCTCTCGCCCCGAATTCCTCGAGCCCGTTTCGATTCCTACAGGATTCTGTTTTGTGCCGCACGACTTATCCGGCGAGCGTGGCGCGGGGAAATATGCGCTGCTTAGTAAATAAATGAACGAAGAGACCCAAGTTGAAATCCAGACACCGCTGCTGGTTTTTTCGGGCGCCACTTCTCGGGCAACCACCGAGAGCATCTTGCCACGCGTACCCCTTTAGGGGTATAGCCCTTCAGGTTGGAGGTTTCTTTCGGCTAAAAGGCCAAAACGCTCAAAGTACCAGAACAAACTGGATAAAACCGGCCCTAAGCCTAATGCACGAGGGAGAAGACTTATCCGTTACCACAAGTTGCATACCTGTCAGCTTCTCGCGATCGGCGACTCGTAATTCTAAACGGATACATAACAATTACTTTCGTTCTTCACGTTTGCGCAATGCACGACGCTCCGTATGTCATCGAAAGCTTCACTGAGATTCCCCCGGCGATAGACGCCCAGCCGAGTAACAAAACTGCAGAGATAACACAGGGTTTCAAGCCTAACTAAAAACCAACTAAACATTAACTGCCGCAAGCGTCTAAATGGACAATTATGTGTATAAAAGTATTTTTTTCATAAACAAGTTGTCGATTTTTATGACTTTTGTAATGAGGATAATATCACGCCAGGGCGATTAATAAGATAAAATTGCTCGCGCCACTACTGGTGGCGTGTAACTGCCCGAGCGAGTCTAACTGTATTTGTACGTCTAACTGTATTCATTATAATTATTAGCAGAGAATAGGTCAATCGCTTCCAACTTCTCCCGTCGTGAAAATAAATAATCAATGTACTAAGCACCAATTGAGTATGTAAAGGCTTTCAGCGATAATTACTTTCGTTTTTCCGAGATAGTTTCGCGCTGTTGCCTCGAACGAAAGTGAATGCAGTCAGTATCGCGGGTAAGGGTCGCCGTCATAATTCCAGCTGATCTACGATCGCTGGAAAGGATCGCTCGCGCCGCCGATCAGTTCGCGGTATCCTCCGCGAGATTGGAATCTCGATGCCATAATTCTAAGAGGATTCATCCGCGTCGCGGTGCCGTATTTGCCGGGAGCTCCTTCGGATTTCAGCGCGGCGGGCTCGACGGTTGAATCGAACGGCGCGTGCACGAGATGTGCTCCACAATGCAAAACGACGACCGCGGGATCGTTGATGTGCCGAGCATATTACGGCTCTGCTTTCCAAACCTTAAGCGATTTGTTTAGGTTTCACCTTTATATACGTTTTAATGATTCGATATTGCGTATTCGCGTGATCGTTACAGTCGCATTCATTGGCGGCTAGCGAAGAGGAGATCAAAGATCCGTTCGTGCCTGTGCGCGTTAAATCGGACATTTATAATCGGTCGGAGACGTCTAAATTGCTCGACTAATTGTCGCCATCTTTACGCGGTGCCACCTTAGAAAAATGAGATCCCGCGGCGTAATTAATTCGTACGCCGCGAGACAAATGTTTTTACATTGTCGATCGCAGTGAATTCGTGATTCTCGTGGAAACAATGTATCAGCGGTCATTCCACGCGCGTTTACGAGCGCGAAACGGCCGGTACCAGAGGGTTCCTCTCGAACCGCCGGTTCTCGAGAAGTGTAGCGGGGTCCCTGGAGGCACACGTCAGTTTCGATTATTCTCGGCTATCGTTAGGCCCCGTTGAGCGCGTGCTCGCTCGCGCGAACGCAGTCGCGGTCCTCGAAACGTCAGACTGTCGGGGCCGTAAATTTTTTCGCGGGCGCCCACCTCTCGTCATGCATATTCATGAATACTCGAATGTAATCGAACGCCGCGCGAGCCGGCGTAGAAAGAGAGAGAGAGAGGGAGAGACGGCGGCGGGGTCCTCGAGCGCTTCGATCAGCCGTCGACTCGATTCAAGAATGACGAGGGCCAACCACGAGAGCGTATACAGATAAGAGCGGCTCAAGGACCGCTGGCTCTCCTCGTCGTGGCCGTGCCTCGTCGTGGAATACGGCCGAGGGCCGTGTGCACTTTATGCGAACCCCGAGACGACACACGCACGACACCGATTCTTATCTCGCCAAGGATACCGCGCGCACGCAAAAGGTGCGCTACGAGTGCGGCGCGCGGCGACGGCCTGGTTCCCGAAAACGGCCGCGGTATCGTGACGCGATCGAATTTGCCTTCGGACAACTGCGGCACCGATATCGGACAGCGGCGGGTCCCCTCGTTAGCAAGTATATCGATGTCCGCGCGGTCATCAAGCGCACTCATGTAAAAACTTATGTAAAGCCCGTTATCGACGCTACATCCATCTTAATTACCGCGGGATACTCATTAGGGTTCCACGGGAGAGCCGCTGCGGCGAGTCTTGGTTTTACGTTGCGAAACAACTTCCCAAAGTGAGGTGAGAAGAAACTGCGACTCGTGTACACGGATGAGGGACTTTTCCACCGCGCTGGAGTCATGGTTCTTGCTCTCTGTCAGGTGTGAGTGAACGATGTGACAGTCGGAGGAATAACTTCTGTCACGAAGCCGGTGCGAGGAGTGGCGCGGCGCGGCGTTCGAGAGCTCCGCTCCGTGACATCGCCGATCCGCCAAGTGGAAGATCGTATCGTGTACGCGCGAGATAAGCGTGTCGGGTTATCTGTAATTAATCAATTTGCGTCTACCAGGCGGCAGCCCGGTAATTACGGGCTCTCCGTTTTATCGCGAATTATGAAACCATTCATCGCGCGATCCCCGGACGAGAGCGCGAGCGAGGACGCGCCGGGCCACCCGTGGAAAGTGGACCGCGCCCCAGTTCTACGACGAAAGGTCGTTTACTGCCGACCGCGTGGTCGTTACGCCGTGCTCCTCGGAGGGAAAGGAGAGGAGATGTTTACACCGAGATGGATGAGCGGATAGCTTCAGTGGACACTCGAAAACCGACGGTCACGCCCGCGACTTCGCGGAGATAGCGAATGTTAAGTGGTCCGTAAAAACTATCATTGCGAGACGGTGCGCGCGAGCGTATTTCGCCTCGAGACGACGAAGAGAGGAAAGAAAAAGGACGAGAAGGAGAGACGGAGGGAAGGAGAACGAGAAGGAGGGAGGAGAAAGTATAGATATTACAAACTAGAGAGGGGTGGAGGATCGACGCTAGCTTCGAGGGGTCATTATAGAACTTTCCTAGCTGGCGCGCCGTCTCTCCCTACTCGCTAATGCCAGACTGTCCGGATTGACTGATGCCAGGTCATTCAAAGCCTTCTAGATCGCCTCGTTGCCTCACTAACATAGAAGTCGGGGAGAGATTGCGCGATAGATGACAGCGTGCACCATTACAGAGTTGGCTTTCAAAAGCCATTAAAAATAGTGGTTACATCCAACGCGGTTCAACGCGATACAACAATCTAACTGCGAATCGAGAAATCGGATTTTTTCTCCTTCACTTTAACGGATAAACGGATCGCCGTACACGAATGGTTAAGAGCATTTTTAGCCACTGCCTCTCCTTACATTTTCCTAAATTTACTAAAATGTCTTTTGAGCAAGATTATCGCGGGGGAAAATCGTTGTAATCTCGCGCTTTAAAAAAAAAGTATTAAAATTTATTCGACACGCTTGATCGAACGTGCACGAACAGTGACGTAAGCGCATCGTCTGCGCGAGTTTTCCTCGCGAGGAACCGCGTCGCGATAAGAAAAATCCCCTTGGCTCACCTGTGCGTACTCGGCGCAGATGTCGATCGACGAGACGTAATTGACGACGTCCTCGATGGTCCAACGATTCACGGCTTGCCCGTCGCCGCAAGGTATGTGGCCGTAGAGAGTCGGACACCTGACCGGCGGAGGTGTGCTTGGTCTCGCGGTAGGTTTCGGCTTGGGTGACACGCTTTCGGACCTCCTTGTTTCCGGCCTTTGCCGCTTGCGAGGTGCGAAGCCACCGGGACTCGACAGGTCTAAGGGACTCGTCACCCCCGCGTCCCTTTTGTTCGCGCCTAAGTTTCAAAACAAAGTGAAACGTTGTTACCGAATCTTTCTCGAAATCGATCAATAATACCGAGGCGTCAATGGCTTTTTAACATTAAACGATTAAAAATTGAAGAACTCGAATAAAAAGTACAAAGTCTCCAAGTCTTCGCAAGCGAAAAGTAATTGCGGTCTCTTTTTGCCATTGAAGTAATGTCATTAATATCTATCACTTGTTTGCCGGTACGGAAATGTAACTTGCTACGGCACTTGCCTTTGAGATACGTCTCCAATTCCGCAGCGCTTTGAGCGGCGTTGGCAGTTCGCACCATGTGCAACAGGGCCTGGGTGGACGACATGTCGATCATAGGCGGAAACACGGGGTTGCCGAAGAGACTATCCTGCTTCGGCTCCTTCGGATCTTTGTTGGAGAGCGGTGAGGTCGTCTGGACAGTCGACGGTTGCGGAGCCCCTAACGGCGCCATCAAACCAACGAACGGCGTCGCTGCAGTCTTGAACGCTGGAAACCTTGGGTCTAAACCCGGAGGGTAACCGTTTCTTGGCGTGCTAAAGTAACTGAAATGATCAATCGTCCTTGATCATTAATGTCCTGTTACGCATATAAAGAAAATGTTCGGTAAAGTATATAGTTACTGTTTACCGTCGCACGTAGACATTTTCAAATAGACCCGGAAATATTTTTCTCATCTTTCACCGAATGCAGAAAATGCTTCTTTGTAAGTTTACCCTTTTATGGGAACGCCTTTCAACCGTTAAGTTATATCAGCGTGATATTTCTAAAAATTCCTTGAAATCCATGTGCTTAATCTTGATTAAACACTGAATCCAACGCTAGAGCGCTTAAAGTCTTCCAAGCGCTGAATTTTGTAAACTTTCCTTAACGGGAAAAATTGCGGGACGAAGGCCGGGGATCGAACCGAGGACCTATGCATTACTAATCACTCGCGTTAGCGCAGAGCTACACGTCATCCCGGAGAATTAAAATGCTATTATCGATAAATGTATAAATAATGTTATTAGTAAATCATAATTTTTAATATTTTAAAGTGACTCGATGCCAAGAAGATTCAACGAATCCGTCGAAGACCGATTATAAATTCAACAGGGCGCAAATAGATACGTAGTAGGTTAAGGGGATGCTGGA